GCAACTGGGGGGGGGGGGTCCTTCCCTAACGGGATTAAAGGGGGGGGCGTCTATCAGCTCCTCCGCACCAGAGGGGAGGGGCCAGTCTCTCTGTCTCCAGCGGGACGAAGGGCGGGGAGCTGCCTCTGCCGCTCCTCAGCCGGGGAAGAAGAGCCCGTCAGGATGAGCTTGAAGCCGCCTGTCTCCGCCCCCACCCCGCCGCAGCAAACGGGGCAGTCCGCCTGAGCGCACCTCACAGGGTTGCGAATAGGGCCTGCGATTAACTGCCGCTAATTTTCGGCCGGGGGAGCTTCTTTCCTGCTCTTAATGGCGGAGAAAAGGGGGGGGGGCGCTATTCATTCGCTCGCCGGAGCGGTGGGTGGGTCTGTCTGTCTCCTACTCCCCTCACCGCTCCGCTAGGCAGTCCGCTCTGCTCAGGCACATCGCGCTACGTGCCTGCGGCGGACACGGCACGCAGCCCCGTCACCTCCCCGGTCTCGCAGCCGGGCTAATTGACTGACAGTTGGGCCGGGTACCCACTGAGGCAACCACCGAGAGTGGCAGGGAGGAGGGAGGGAGGGAGAGGGTCCTTATATAGCATCAGGCTGCTGTCCTCGGTGAACGCCCGCCTACCGGCCCATTCGCCTCTCATCCATTCAGGCGCTTCGGACGCCTCCTTGGCTCAAAGGACTGACCCTATGGTATGGGTTCATGGGAGTTGTAGTCCCGACCCCACCCCGCGGATAAGAAAGCAACGTTTATGGGAGCTGTAGTTCCCGCGGTGGCCTATCTCTGTTGCACCCCCTGGTGGGGAAACTCGAGGTCTCGTGAAATCGGGAAGATAGATAGTAGATTTAGCAAAATGTAGCCTCGGCGGTTGAATGCGGTCACCCTGCAGTAGTAAAAGTGCTTTATAGATGGTAGAGTGCCGGTGTAACTAGTGTACAACTTCTTACTCTTTTGAGCCTGCCACTTTTCAGGCAAGACATCCTTCAGAGCACAGTCAGTACCTAGAGCTGCCAGCTCCTGCTTGGGAAATTCCCGCAGATTTCAGGGCAGTGTGTGAGGAGGAGAGAGTTCGGGGACGAGAGGGGGCTCAGCGGGGTTGTGATGCCAGAATCCACCTTCCAAAGGTCCCGTTTCTTCCGAGGGGACTGATCTCTCTGTAGTCTGGAGATGAATTGTGGTTCCAAGAGAACTCCACGCCTCCACCTTGAAGTTGGCAACCTTAATCAGCCGCCATCCTGTCCAACAGCTGCTCAGCTTTCCAGGTCAGCCATCTTCCCCAAGTGGTTAAAAAATCATAGGCAATCGACGTTTTAAAGAGGCAAAAGATGCACATCGAAGCTGCAAAGATGCTCTCGTTCACTGGAGTTCGTGAAAGCCCTCGAATGGGGAAATTCCTGACTCCAAAAGCACAGAGGTGTGTCTGTGTGTATCCATTAAATGTTCAGTGTTCTAGGAAAAAAAAAATCATATGTCCGTCTTCAATTGATTGAGGACATACATTGCTGTCTCACATATACATGTCCACATATATTCTCAGGTCCATCAGCAAAGACTCTGGAACAACCTCCACAGTTATAAGATTAGAAGACAAGACCTTGCAGAGGAGGAGGAGGAGATACCCCGCCCTTCACTTGGAGTCTCAGAGTGGCTTACAATCTCCTTCCCTTCCTCTCCCCACAACAGACACCCTGTTGGTTAAACAACAGGATGAGGAGGGTAGGAGTAAATGGGGAGTTCCCTTGGAGGGAAGTAACTGCAGCCCCCCCATAACATCTATTTTAAGATTGGTGGCATTTAATTTGCTTATAAATGATTTGGAATCACAAATAGTGGTAAAGTAGTCAAGCTTGCACCAAAGCATGCTGGAGAATGAAAACCACAGTGGGTTGTGACAAGATCCAGGATCTCTCCAAAGCTGCGAGTGGGCAATGCTGTGGCAAAAAGTTCAATGTAATCCAGTGTAAAATGATACATACGTGGTTAAAAAAAAGTGTTATGTAGAGATTATCAGGAAAAAGACTGAAAATAAAATGGCCCATCTCATAATGCCCATGTGCAGCCTCATTTGGGTTGCTGTTTACAATTCTGGTTGCCCCATCCCCAAAAAGGGTATTTGGAAGCTGGAAAATAAGCAGGGAAGCACACCAAAAATTATCAAGACCATCTAAGGAAAAGCTAAAGAATCTAGGACTTTAGGTGTAGAAAAAGGTGACTTGGGGGTCATGATAGAGATCTACAAAATCATGCACATTGCAGCAAAAATAGAGTATTTGCTCCCTCTTCCAACATATCAGAACTCAGGATATGCAACTCAGGATATGCAAGCTGATAAACAGTAGATTCAGGAAACTTGTATAAGTATCTTGTAAAGCTTACTGCCACAAAATGAAATAATGGCTCCTTTCTTGTGTGTGTGTATGTGTGTTACGTGCCATCCAGTCACTTCCAACTCATGGTAACCATATGAATGAATGACCTCCAAAACTTCCTATCATTAACAGCCTTGCTCAAATCTTGCAAACTGAAGGCTGTGCCTTCCTTTATAGAGTCAGTCCATCTCATGTTGTGCCTTCCTCTTTTCCTGCTGCCTTCAACTCCTCCTAGCATTATTGTCTTTACCCAATGAATCTTGTCTACTCATGATGTGACCAAACTACAATAGCCTCAGTTTGGTCATTTTAGCTTCTTCTTTTTTAACAGTTTTTATTTATGGTTTTTACAATGTAAACAACATATGCTAAATAAAATGTCTTAACAATTTCGAGTCTACTTTTCTGATCTGTTATCCAACCATTTATACACCCTTGACCATCGGTTTAGATATAGTACTTCATCCTTTCCTTGCAATACAATGTTCAGATGCTGCAGGAAGACCCACCAGACAAGGTGGAGATTCTGTCAAGTGCAATTTCTGAGCTATCTCCTCTCGAGGGAGTTCTATCAGTCTTCCAATATAGTCATTTTAGCTTCTAAGGAGAGTTGGTTTGAGTTGATCTGGAACGCACTTATTTGTCCTTTTGGTGGTCCATGGTATCCATAAAACTTCCCCATCACCACAATTCAAATGAATCCGCTTTCTTCCTGTCATCTTCCTTCACTGTCCTACTTTCACACCCAGACATAATAATAGGGAATACTATAGTATGCATGAATTATTTTGATCTTGGTCTCCAGTGACACATACTTACCCTTGGGGGGGGGGGGTTTTCTAGCTCCTCTGTAGCTGCCCTTCCCAGTCTTAATCTCCTTCTGATTTCTTGGTTGCAGTCTCCCTTTTGGTTGATGATTGAACCAAGGAATACAACGATTTCTTCTTCATTGTCAGCCTCGTTGTTGTTGTTTTACTGCCAAGTCACAGCTGACTTATGGCGACCCCGTAGGGTTTTCAAGCCAAGAGACGTTCAGAGGTGGTTTGCCACTGCCTGACCACATCACAACCCTGGTATTTCCTGGAGGCCTCCCATCCAAATACTAGCCAGGCCCAGGGCTGACCCTGTTTAGCGTCTGAGATCTGACGAGATTGGGCTAGCCTGGGCGAGCCAGGTCAGGCCAAGCCCTTTTGTTGTTGTTCAGTCACACAGTCGAGTCCGACTCTTCACGACCCCATGGACCAGATCACGCCAGGCCTTCCTGTCTTCCACCGTCCTCTGAAGTTTGCTCAATTTCATGTTCGTTGCATCTATGACACTGTCTAACCATCTCATCCTTTGCCGTCCCCGTCTTCTTTGACCTTCAATCTTTCCCAGCATCAGGGTCTTCTCCAGTGAGTGCTCCCTTCTCATTTGGTGGCCAAAGTATTTGAGATTCAGTTTCATTATCTGGCCTTCCAGGGAACAGTCAGGGTTGATTTCTTTTAGGATTGACTGATTTGATCTTCTTGCAGTCCAAGGGACTCTCAAGAGTCTTCTCCAGCACCATTGTTCAAAAGAATCTATTCTTCGGCGCTAAAACTTTAAGCCAAGTCCTAAAGTTGTGTAATTCCTCAGCAGTCATTACTTCTTGATGTTCAGCTGTAATCCAACTCTGGCACTTCCTGCTTTAACCTTCAACAGGAGTCGTTTCAGATTTTCACTATTTTCTTCCAGTAATGTGGTATCATCTGCATATCTCAAGTTGTTAATGTTTCTTCCACCAATTTTCACCTTCAGTTAAATCTGTTTTAGCTTTCCTTATGATATGTTCTGCATATAGACTGAATAGATAGGGAGATGGATTATATCCCTCTCTGACACCTTTGCCACCTGGAAACCATTCTGTTTCTTCATATTATTTATATGTATATCATCTATATCAAGGGGTCCTCAACCTTTTTGAGCTTGCAGGCATGGTGGGCGGAGCTACAAAATGCCTGCCAGAAAATAGCTGTGTCATGGGTCTGCCTGCCCACACCTCCTTGGATGAGGAAGAGATGGAGGAAGAAGCTGGCCCCAGCCCTCAGATGCTGCAGGAAGACCCACCAGACAAGGTGGAGATTCTGTCAAGTGCAGACTGGGAATCTCGGGCTGAAGTCAGAGTGCCATGCCCTCAGTCCTGCTGCCTAAGATCCAAAGCTGAGGCAGAAGCCCTGCAGCCACCAGCTTCACCCCTGGTGTCACCAGAGCCCTTGGAACACCGGAGAAAGTAAGCCCAGAGGGAGGCTCAGGACTGGTGTTGTGGTGCATGGTTGGCAGCCCAGCACTGGTCAACCTCTGCCTGTGAGCTGGAGTCATTGCAGGAGCAGGGCTGACCACCCTGTAGGCTGCTCAGCCATTGATGACTGGCACCTGTCCCTCAATGACTCAGCAGGTTGCTGAGTTGCACCAGGCCCTGAATGGCTCCTGATAAAAGCTGCTGTGCTACAAGTTTCCGTGTGCTCGACCTTCTGGACTGTGACCTGGCTTGTGCACTTTGGAT